TAACGCTTATGTAAAGGAAGAGACATTTTTTTAACGTAGAAGTTTATTGATGATCTACGACGTATGTAGATTATATATCAACCTATAAAAGGCATCATGATCAGCGTTTGTAATGTTCTTTGTGTTCGGAAAATTTCATAACATTACACATGATTTTTAGAAAGTTATGGGGGGTCAGTTACTTATGAAATTGACTGTATGTACACCTTTTCTACTTCCATTATATATGTATGTCGACTCTCTTGGTTTTCTTTGTTTTTACTTGCATAACCAAAGTCATCTTGTACAATGGTAAAATAATCCTGCAAATTCTTCAATTTCATCTGAATCTGGATCAAGAATGCTCTGTTATCACCGACGGTCAAATTTCTCCAATTACGGCTTTTTGGGGAATGAGTGGCAGAAGACGAATTAGGAAGATCGCCAACACCAGGTGTACGTATTTGTCAACAATGTTGCTGTTTTCCTAATTTAGCAGATTTTACAGCAAAAAGCAGCACAATGCAGTTGGCAAATTTTACAGTATAACAACTGTAAATTCCCATCACGATTCTCAACAATGTTGTCTACTTTTTCAAAAAGTATAATAACTGCAAATTCTCATCATCGTGCTGATAAAACAATTACATTACTTTTTCAGTATATATTATAGCGAATCTTCATCAATTTCAACGCCTGTTTTGACAATTTGCAGCATTTGTCATCATCTTACAGCGTTTTTCTCACAACTAGGGTTGTTAATTGGTTTGAAGCAAACCGCTTAACTGCAGTTTGAACTCAAACTGATACAAAAATGGTTTAACTCGGTTAGTTAAACCATATAATAATGGCAAATTGAATATTAAATATTAAATACACAAGTGATAAAACTCACATCACGTTTGAACTGCATGCAATAGACTATATTTAAACCGAACCGAACCATAATAACTTCTCATCAGATTTACAGTAACTTTGCAATATCTTTTCATCAATCTACAATATCTTCTTATCAATTTACAAAATCATCTCATCAATTTCTTTATTAGAAAAACATAGTAAAGTCAACACGGAAAGTAATGGCGGACATTTTTTTCGCCTATAACTTAATAAGAAATTGCTAAAAATTCACGAAAATTTGGCATTATATTCTTTAGGATGACGGAAACAAAATTTTCTAAGGTTACAAAGCGTGTTAACATAGTAATATTTTGTGTGATCACGTGCTAAAGGTGGCGGGTCTGGGGGCTATCCTGGTTAAGAGCTATAAAAAATTATTTATAAATATTTTTTATAAGCAAGTGTGAAAAAAATTTTATAGAAATATTTTTAAAGATATAGAAAATATATCTGCAATTTAAAAAAAAATTTAGTTGATATTTATTGAATAAATGCCAGTTAAAAAAGGCATAATTTTGATAAATTTCATAATAAAATAAAAAATAATATTTTACTATATTTTATTATGAAATTTATCAAAATTATGCCTTTTTTAACTGGCATTTATTCAATAAATATCAACTAAAATTTTTTTTAAATTGCAGATATATTTTCTATATCTTTAAATATATTTCTATAAAATTTTTTTCACACTAGCTTATAAAAAATATTTATAAATAATTTTTTATAGCTCTTTAACTAGGGTAGCTCCCGGGCCCGCCATCTTTGACACGTAATTCCGCAAAATAATACTATGTTAATATGCTTTGTGACCTTAGAAAATTTTGTATCCGTCATCCTAAAGAATATAATGTCAAATTTTCGTGAATTTTTAGCAATTTCTTATTAAGTTATAGGCGAAAAACTTGTTCGCCATTACTTTCCGTGTTTGACTGTACTTCTTAAATAGTATAATACTTATTACAAATTCCATAATTACTATAATTATTATCGCAATAATTGATAAAAGAATGTAATAACCAAAATTTATATAAAAGAATGATCTTCAGACTACTAATAAAGACAAATTTGAAATTTTGCATATTATATTATTTGTTAGTTAGGTTCTTTTGTACCAGAAAAGACATTGTTTTTGCGAAATTATATTCATGTGAAATTATATTTTTTGTTGTAAAATTGTTTTTGTGACTAAAATTAATATTTAAGAATTAAGACGTTTAACTAGAAAAAGCAATAATTAAAATCTTCTTTTACTCAAAGAACATAAAATTCCAAACACCTACCTGAAGCACATAATTACTCCTAAAATTAACTTAATCAATAATATCTATAGATATCAGTATATATTAGAATGAATATTACTTAGTCTCTTATTCTCTTCCAGAAACTTGTTATACTGAAAATTCCTTCAACTATATTCAACAAAATATAATCAGAACAATATGTAATCTGATAGATTTTTTATATTGTCTTATAGCTTACATAGTTATTATACTACTAAAACTATTTTTTTTACAATGTCAATTAAATTGCATTTGATCTTGATAGTATTTTCTTTATATATTAGCAATATTACTTTGAAATATTTTTTTCATGATCGATTAATAATACTTGATGATGACAAAATCTTTATCATGATTATTTCGAAATTATCTGTAATAAATGATGAATTCTGTAATGAAACCTTCTAATCAATAAAATACTAGCTTGTAACTCATAATATCTGATAATAATAATCATTTTTAGAAATGAACAAATATAATATGCAAAATACATATTTTAAATAAAATATAAGTGGCAAATAACAAATGACAATTTTGGCAAACTAAAAACAATAATTCAAGTCAAGTCTATCAATTAATCAGTTTATTTTTGCATAATTTTTACCAGAGAGAGATATATATATAATTATACACTTTTCTTAAATTTTCATAATGCTGGCCAAAATTCAACATAAGATTATGCAAGAAGATAATAATCCAAAACATTGATCAAAAATTGTTAATAAATATAAAGACAAACATGATATTAAACTTTCTTTGCCAGCAATGTTGCTGAATCAAATCCCATAAAAACATTTGGCAAATCATGAACATTAATATTGAAAAAAATCTGAACAATTAAGAGTTTAAAGCGATAATTGATGAAAGAGTGGAGAGTTTTTCCAAAGGAACTCACTGGAAATTTGGTTATAAGTATGGGAACTATACAATATCTTATAATCAGGATTAACAATATACTTTCAAAATATAAAAGAATGATTTATAGTAATACAGTTACTTTTGTTTCCTACTGTTCCTGTTATTAAACTTCCCTATCCAACACATACGCGTCCACTTTCAGAGCAGAATTGCTAATAATTGGATTGTAGTGTTGCCATCAAACATGAGCATTGTGTAGATCATCACGACTGCACATACGTACGTAAATTATATAATTTATTTGATTTAAAAATATCTATATTGTATTCAATTTCACTTTTATTCAGAAATCTTGATAAGTAATAATATTATTAATAATAAAAAACCTGGTTCCATATTCCATTTACGTATATTCATGCTAATCAGAAAGTAAGAAATCATAATAATAGTGAAGTTAAATAGAATCAAATTTGTTTTTTTTTGATAACTTGATTCAAAATAATCTCTTAATAATGGTTGTTGCAGTTACGTATGTAACAATAACGATCTCCCGCTTATCATTTTAAATTCAATAGCTAGATCTATCAGTAAGTTTTTATGTGGATACGAAATTTAGTTAATGTATTAATTTTTATTGGTCAAGAAAGAAGTTAATAAAGAAAAGAAATTAATTACAAAATTTAAGAGATTAAAACGAGGGGATAATAGAAGAATTATTAGTAAGTTTTTATGTGGATACGAAATTTAGTTAATGTATTAATTTTTATTGGTCAAGAAAGAAGTTAATAAAGAAAAGAAATTAATTACAAAATTTAAGAGATTAAAACGAGGGGATAATAGAAGAATTATTAAAAAAGAAGGAACGGAAAAAGAATAGAACTGATTAGTTTATATTTCCCACTGTTAATCGTGAACTGGCATTTGTTGTTATTAAGGTTGTTGTTGAGGTTGTTTGTTGTTCTTAGTTGTCTGTTCCTTCAAGTGATTCTTCTAGCTTCCCGTTTTCATCCAGATCTTTTTTCGTGCACCAGCACCAGCACCGGCACTGGTACTGGTAGCGGTTCATCAGCCACTTGATACCAATAAATAGCAATACTAAGACACCTCCTAAGACACCTAAGACAACTCCTACAATTTTTAAAGTAGAATTTGTTGAAGAATTGTTGGGAACTTTATATATACTAAGAGCAAAAGGGCCACCACAAATCTGAGAGTTATTGCCCACGCAACTAGTACTACATTGCTCGTTGGGTGCACCGCTTGCTTGACCATTTACAGTGTAATCATTGCCGCAAAAACATTGATGTCCATCTTCCAGGCCAGCATATTTAAAACTATTTTGATTGCAGATGTTTATGCAATCATCGATTGTCATGGAATTTTCCACTTGAGGTGTGGTACCATTTAAGGTGCGACAAGAAGGACCATCTTGAAAACATCCTTGATAGCGAGGGTCGCTATTCTTAGAAATCAGCTCTAGTTTTTTATTGATATTAATGTTTTGACCATATGAGTAGTGGGAATTAGTGATGGTGCTATAAACTTTAAAAGCATTTTCTCCACCACAAGTGAGATTCGGGTTGCCAGCACAAGTACTATTACATGTACCATTGGATGGGTTATTGTAATATACTGTAACGCTGTCGTTACCACAATAGCATTCTGCACTATTTTTTAGAGCTGCATACGCAAAGAGGTAGTCGGCACAATGGTCAATACACATCTCGGGGTCCATCAGAGAAATCGTGGTTCCGTTTTCACCCTTCCGATTCATAGAAAAAGGATTCGAAAGTGTTGGTGAAAATGAAGCAAGGCCATTGAGAGTTTGTTCAACACCCTCGAAACATTTTCTTGAGTCTAATGGTGGATCTCTAAGAATTGGACCACACTGTTGAGAACAACTAATGCTAATTAGGTTGATTAAAAGGAGGATAAATATTTTTTTCATTTGAATTTTTTTATATAAGTTATTCTTTTGTTGTGATAAATTTTCTCATGAAACTTATACATGCACATGTAATCGTTTTCGTTATTGTTTGCATGTAAATACATGTAGTAATTAGGGAGATTTTTGTATTACAAATATTAACGTTAACGTTAACATTCAAAAATACGTAACGGTATAGATAATCCGAGTACGTACGTACGTATGTTGTATTCATTCTACATGTACGTATAAAGATAATAATTCAAAAAGTTATACGTACAGTCGGCATCAAAAGTAACGCCCGATTTGTTATGTAACCAAATAGACAAATATATCCGTTTTGTTTACCCCTTTTTTCTTATTCTTTTGGGTCAAAATTTTTTTTTGTTTTACTTCCTCGTTGCCCAGCCAAACACTACGTAAAAAACTCTTGAGATAAATATGACTCGTTCCCG